AGATTGAGGGCAGGAGGAGAAGGGGACAACAGAGGATGAGATGGTTGGATGGCATCACTGACTCAATGGACATGACTCTGGGAGTTGGTGCTGAACAGGGAGGCCTGGCGTGCTGCGGTTCATGGGGTCTCAAAAAGTCGGACTCAACTGAGCGAGTGAAATGAACTGATGGCTGATTCATGTTGATGTTTGGCAGAAACCAACACAATATTGTAAAGCCATTATCCTTCATTTAAAAATAAATTAATTTTTTTCTTAAAAAAAAGCCTTTTTGACCACAGTATGGATATCCAATTAAAAGGAGGCAAAAATGTTACCAGAAACCATCCAATAGAAGGTCGTCCAGTTGTCCTGGAAGAGGAGGTGGAGGTGGGCATCGATGAGGGTTGTGGAAGTGGAAAAGAGTAGATGGATTCCAGAGAAATGTCTGGAACAGGACTGATTGGACCAGGTGATTGGCTGATACGTGGAGGGCAAGGGAGGGAGTTTCCTGGATGTCAGGAGGACGCCCAGGCTTCTGGCTGAGCAGACTCGGAGCATGGCTGTCAATGACAGCTGAGACCCAACTGGCTTCTCTGGCAGCCAGGCCCACTGCTTGCAGTCGAGAAAACCTACGCGTACGTGCTGCTAGGGTCCAGCCACCTGTCCCTCAGAGAAAGCCCCTGCACCGCCTGCCTCCCCCAGCTAGCCCCACCCACGTGTCAGCCCTCCGAGGAGCAGGCGTCAAGCGGAGCGCACGCCGGGCTTGCCTGCTTCACCGTGACACCTCCGAGGGCTGTGCCTCTCTCTTCCCCAGCTGCCCATCTCAGAAGAGGGAGCTGGCACTCGCAGTCAAGCGCGGCTGCTGACGAGCACGGCAGCCAGTTCTGGGCCGCAAGGGCAGGCCCGCTGCAGCCAGCAGCCCTGGCCGTGGCTGAGAAGGGGAGATGCTTAAGGCAGTTGGCCTGGCAGCCCTGGCGTGGCAGGAGCAGGCCGATCAGCAAGAATGACCACTTCTGGAGTTAGATGGGGCTAATGATTGTGCAGTTTTGTGAACCTACTGCACTGTGAACTCTTAAAGGATAAGTCTTATGGTATTGGAGTTACATTGCAATACAGCTGTTCCTTGACTTGCAAGGGGGTTATGTCCTGATAAAATATACTCTAAGTTGAAAATATCAAGTCAAGAATGCTCTGGCTACCAGACCTACCAGAGATCATGTCTTAGCCCAGCCCTACCTCAACTGCACTCAGAATACTTGCATCAGGCCACAGTTGGACATCATCTTCCCCAAAGCCTGCTTTGTCATAGTGTTGAATCTCGCATGTAATTGATTGAACGCGGTACTCCAAGTGAAAACAGAATGGTTGTCCGTGTCCCACCCTCATGACTGCACAGCCAAGTAGGAGCTGCCCCTGCCCAGCGTCACAGGGGAATATGTATCTTGCATCGCTGGGCCAGGGAAAAGTCAAAATTCAAAGTATGGTTTTTACTAAATTCTTCTCGCTTTCACACCATCATCGGTAAAGTCATAAAACCTAAGCTGACCCGTCGTTAAGATGGGAACCGTTTGTATGAAGTAAGTGAATAAATAGGTGAAGAGAGAAATGTTCGGACTTCTCTGATGGTCCAGGGGTTAAGACTCCGAGCTACCACTGCAGAGGGCATGGGTTCGATCCCCGGTTGGGGAAGTTCTGCATGCTCGTAGCGTGGCCAAAAAAAGAGATTGCGAGAGAGAGAAAGAGAAATAGTAAAGGGAGGTAACTGCTATAAACAGGAGCACCAGGTCCCAGGTTGATGATAAACAAGAGGAGCCAAGTAACATCTTCAAAGGCTTTGGTTCCCCTTCGTGGTTTCCTGCTTGGGGATGTTCTCAGCCCAGCGCTCTTCCCTAGTAATTAACTTCAGGCCATTCTGGTTCTTGGCTGTGCCGGAAGTAGGGCAGGAAAGGGAGGGCACTGCCTTCTCTCTTCGGGGGGCCTTTCCCTCCCCCTGTGGGCCCAGGAAGGGAGGACGTTGGGGTGCTCCCCAGGACTCTGGAAAAATGCACTCTCCCTCTGCAGTTTGGGGTGTCTCTGTCACCCCAGCCTCTCTCCCTGCCCTCTCTCTGCCTCTCTCACCCCTCTGGCCCCATCCAGATGCCAGAATCCGGGCCTTGCACCCTCTCTCATCCCTTTCGCCTGCCCGTTCTGCTCAGATTATAAGGAAAGAGGTAAATACTTGGCATCACCGATGCAACGGACATGAACTTGGGCAAACTCCAGGAGATGGTGAGGGACAGCGAGGCCTGGTGGGCTGCAGTCCACAGAGTCGGTGCGACTGGGTAACTGAACAACAGCTACTTGGCCTAAGTCTCAGCGTTTGGACCCGGGAGCCTCAGCCAGAAGGACTAGGGCGCCCTCCTGTGGCCATTGGCAGCATTGCTTGTTCCCACTCTGGCCCTGAATTTTTTTTTCTAGAGGGAATTTTAACGTTGAATTCTGGTAGTTCAGTCGAGTTCAGTCACTCAGTCGTGTCCGACTCTTTGTGGCCCCATGGACTGCAGCACGCCAGGCCTCCCTGTCCACCACCAACTCCCGGAGTTTACTCAGTCTCATGTCCATTGAGTCAGTGATGCCATCCAACCGTCTCATCCTCTGTCGTCCCCTTCTCCTCCTGCCTTCAATCTTTCCCAGCATCAGGGTCTTCTGGTAGAGGAGGTAGCTTTTTTCTTCCCCAAGAGATACATGAGAAACAATTAAGGTCCTAAGATGTAGATGAGAAGAAGAAAAGATAAGTTGGATAGATAATAAACTAAGAAATAAAATGCAGGTGTTTATATCCTGTGAAAGAAAGTGAAGTTGCTCAGTCGTGTCCAACTCTGTGACCCCATGGACTGTAGCCTGCCAGGCTCCTCCGTTCATATCCTGTATCTTTATTTTAAAAGAGGTGGTGAGACCTAGTAGGAAGCAAGTCCATGACATGAAGAGCAAATTTACCAGCTGTGCGACCTTATTAAGCTGACTTCTCTGAGACTTAGTCTCTTTACCTGTAAAATGGAATAATCACAACACCTGTCTCATAGGATTGTTGTGGGATAAAATTTAATTGTTGTTGTTCAGTCACTCATTCATGTCCGACTCTTTACGACCCCATGGACTGCAGCACACCAGGCTTCCCTGTCTGTCACTATCTCCTGAAGTTTGCTCAAACTCATGTCCGTCGAGTCGGTGATGGCATCCAACTATCTCATCCTCTGTCATCCCTTCTCCTGCCTTCAATCTTTCCAGCATCAGAATCTTTTCCAGTGAGCCAGCTCTTCGCATCAGGTGGCCAAAGTATTGGAGTTTCAGCTTCAGCATCAGTCCTTTCAATGAATATTCAGGGTTGATTTCCTTTAGGAATAACTGGTTTGATCTCCCTGCTGTCCAAGGGACTCTCAAAATTTAATTAACATAAGTTAAATACCTTGTAACTCAGGGCTTCCCTCGTAGCTCAGTTGTCAAAGAATGTGCCTGCCATGCAGGAGACCCAGGTTTGATTCCTGGTTTGGGAAGATCCCTTGGAGAAGGAAATGGCAACCCACTCCAGTATTCTTGCCTGGAAAATCCCATGGACAGAGGAGCCTAGCAGGCTAATAATGTCCATGGGGTCTCAGAGAGTCAGATATAACTTAGCAACTAAACCACCACAGGTCCATCCAAATACCTTGTTCGGTGCCTGCGATGAATTAAGGACTCAGTAAATACTGCCTATTTCTATTGTTATCATTATAACACCTGGAGACTAAATGTAGGAACCATTTCTCTCTTCGGGGGGACCTGAAGCCAGGCGAGCTGCCTTGCACAATCCCAGGGGCACCGTCCACGTCATAGTCTCTCTAAAGCCCCTTCCCCAGAGGTGAGCAATGCCTGCAGTCTCTGGAGCTGAGCCAGTCACCAGTCTGGGGACTCTGACCCAGTGAGGTGGAGAGAGAATTTGAAAAATCCATGAGACAGCAAAATAAGTTGGTTTTTTGGTGGTTGTTTGCTTGTTTGTTTAAGGAAAGATAGGGCCCAGTCAGAAACAGATTGGGGAGGGGGATAGGAATTCCCTGACCGTCTGGTGGTTAGGACTTTACACTTCTACTACAGGGGACACAGGTTCGATCCCTGGTCAGGAAACTAAGATTCGCACATGCCGCATGGCTGGGAAAAAAGGGAAAAGAAACAGGTTGGGGGCCCGGCTGCCAGTCAGTAGATGAGCTTGGCACCCTGCCTGGCACAAGGATGGAGCCCAGCAACTGCTCATTTCCTTCCCTTTCTGTCCTGTCTCCAAGGAGGCCCTGGGCAGAGCATGAACGCGGCTTCGCTCCGCGCCCTCTAGTGGTTACGTGGTATTCCTCCTGCGCGAAGCCGGGAGCGGTCACCCTGTGGGCGTGCTCAGCGTGGAGGAGCAGCGGCCGCCGCGGCGCCCCTGGAGGGGGCGTGTCCCTTGACCCCCTCAAGGGCAGACCCCAGGCTGTACCCCCGGCCCTCGTTGTCGCCTGTGTCCCAGGATGGAGGTGCCTGCGGCCCGTCTGGCCCTTGGTCGCCTATTAAATCTCGGGGCCACTTGCCAAGACCCTTTAAACCTCTTGGCTGTTCTTTTTGCCTTTTCTGATCAGCTGTATTTATTCTGAACTAAATGGTCCTCGCTGCAGGATGAAAGGATTTACTGCTGAAGGATATGAAAAGAAATCTTGGCGGCATTACAGTGGCACCCCCCCTCCTTGCCACCCCCTCCCCGCAGCCCATGTTCCATCCACTCGCTGGTGCCACAGAGACTGAAGTGGGAGCTTGGCCCCCACCCCCCACCCCAGTTCAGTTTGGTGGCAGAGCCCAGTTAATGGGGAAGTGCGGTTACAGGGAGCAGCTTGTCTGGGGGAGCCGTCTCCCCAGTGTATTGCTGTCCCAAGGGAGATTGGAGCCCCAGGAAGGGCTCACCCCAACACCCCTCCATCACACGCACGCGCGCACACACGCACGCACTCTCATATTCTCTTTCTCTCTCTGACCCTCAGGATCGTGCTCATGGACGATGCCATGGACTGCTTGATGTCTTTCTCAGACTTCCTTTTTGCCTTCCAGATCCAGTTTTACTACTCAGGTGAGAGCCTTCCGGGCCCCAGTGGCTCCTGTCGGGACCTCACTCCCCGTCCGGCCCTGGGCCCTGCCGTCTGCGTGTCTGGCCCGCACGTTTCTGCGCCTCCTCCCTGCGTGGCGGGCTTCCCCGCGGGCCGCCCCGCAGGATGTCCCGTTGTCGCCGGTGGTCACACGACTCGGCCCGCAGGGCCGACTCGCTCGCTCAGCCTCCTCGTGGCTCAGAAAACCACGGCGCTTCCCGCCAGCAGGGGGACACATCAGTTTAAGTGATAACCACGGTCACACCACCACCAACACACGTTCTGGGATGGTCCCCGAGGCATTTCCCGTTGAGCGAAAACGTACGGTGTGTCGGGCCCAGCGCTAGGCACCTTCATCCTCACCGCGGCGCTGAGAGGCAGGCGGTCTTTTAAGAGAGAAGCGGACGGAGGGGAGCTGCCAACGCGACGGGCTGCGGGGCGGTGGAGCCCAGGCCTGATCGGAGGGCCCGCCGCCGCACCGCGCGCGCTCAGCCCCCCGGCCGTGTCAGCGGGGCCGGAGGTCTTCCCCGGGGCCCGATGCAGACGTGTGAGCGCACAGCTCCTCATCAGTGCACGCCGGCCTCTGTCACGCTGCCCCTCACCCCCCGGGTCCCCAGCAAGCAGCGGCTGCGCCCTGCAATCCCAGGTGGAATAAAAATGGCTGACCGGATGCCAACGCACCCCGGCTCACACATGGCGAGTCGGATGGAGTGCTGAGCCCTGAAACTGCTGACTGTGTCCATAAGCAAACTTGTTTCAAACAGGCTCTTCCAGTAAACAGAGGGCTGGCTGTCCTTGGAGCCTGCCCGTGGCCTTCCTGCCAGCGGGTGGCCCCGGCCTCACTCAGGCGCCACGCCTTGTCCTCTTGATGGTGGCCCCGGGGCCCAGGCGGCAGGGGCTGCAGTCTAGGGTCTCGCCACCTGCTCTCAGAAGCTCCGGGCGTCCACTGCCCATTTCTCTGAGGCTCCTGGGCCCTGGAGAAGGAGCAGCCGCATGTGGAGACCCTGTTCCCCTCACCGTGTGTCTGGGCTCTCTCCTCACAGCGGCCCCCAGAACAGGGCAGCCATGGGGAGGTGGGCCGTGAAGTCTCGGCTCATTGGGCTCAGCAACTAATACCTGAAAACTAGTTCAGCTGTTTAATAAATCAGCAGCTGGTAAGCTTTCTCTCCTGCGCGGGTATTTCCAACCTGCTTCCCTTAGTCAGAGAGGCAGGTGGCCTGACAAGAGGGGTTTGCCAGCAGGAATGTGTACCTGTTCACCTTTTACATTTTTCAAAAATATTTATAGCGTTTTCTACGCACCAGGCGCCATGCTGGGTGCTGGGTGTGGGAAAGGCTGACACAGCATGGTTCAGGCCTGTGGGCAAGGTCTGCCACTCCAGCAAGGAGACAAAGCGAACCAGTCACAGAAACGCCCTCACCGGATAAGTGCCCCAGAGGAGTCCGGGGTGCCTGAAAGCATGTAATGGGGTCTCGCCTGGTCTAGGAAGAACCTCCAGAGGAGGGGACGTTCGAGCCGAGACACACGCATGTCATCCCTCACAAGCGAGGTGGTCACAGGAGGCCGAAGGCCCCTGCTCCCCAGACGCCGTGCGTTGAGGACTCACTGGGGAGCTGAGCTGACCGGCAGAGAGAAGGGGGCCCTTGGTGAGGGGACCCAGGGTGTCCTCCCCGCCTGACGTGTGCCCCTCTGCCCTGTACACAGAGTTCCTGGAGAGCGTGGCCGCCATCTATCAGGACCTGCTGTCGGGCAAGAACCCCAACACGGTGATCGTGCCCACGTCGTCCAGTGGGCAGCACCGCCAGCGACCTTCCGCGGGTGAGGCCAGCACGCTGGAGGGCGTGGAGGCCGCGCTGTTCTACCAGTGCCTGGAGAACCTGTGTGACCGGCACAAGTACAGGTGAGGCCCCGGCTCGGATCTCCAGCAGGCTGTTCTGAGGGCCTGGGGCTCCTAGGCCCTTGATGGTCATCGTATTGAATATAAATCAGAGCCATTTGCCCCCAGTCCAGGCTGATGATTGGCAGGCTTCCCAGGTGGCTCACGGGGACGGATTGCTTCCATTAGGGCAAGACCAGATGTTATTGACCAGCTAGGGCCCCTTCTTCTTGCCAGGAGATAGATTGGTCTTGACTTTTTAGAGAGAAGGAGAAAAACATCCACTGTGCGCAAAATTCACCCTACAGAAAAAGAAGGCAGCTGTCCTGTGTAGCACGAAGTCCCCTTGGGGACAGAGCAGCCAGCTTGTGTCTCCTCCGAGAGGAGGCATTGCCCAGCACCAGTTCCCCATCCCCCACCCTGCCAGTGAAGCACTGATCAGTGAACATGCCAGCCTTTCTGTCTACAGTCAAGGCCTTGCTCCGAGAGTTCTGCCAGGCTCCCCAGGGCCTTAAGGTTCCCAGGGCAGGCAGGTCTCTTGGTTTTCGCCCTCCTGAGGGCTTCCCAGGTGGCACTAGTGGTAAAGAATCTGCCTGCCAAGGCAGGAGACGCAAGAGATACAGTTTCGATTCCCAGGTCGGGAAGATCCCCAGGAGGAGGAAATGGCAACCCACTCCAGTATTCCTGCCTAGAGAACCTCATGGACAGAGGAGCCTGGTGGCCTCCAGGCCATGGGGTCCCAAAGAGTCAGACCCGACTTAGTGACTGAACATACCCTCCTAAGCCTTAAGGTCTGGATGAAAAGAAGGCGTCAGACTTAACTAGTGTTTGAATCTGTGTTCTCCCTTCTAGCTGCCCACCCCCGGCACTGGTCAAAGAGGTCCTCAGCAATGTTCAGAGACTGACCTTCTACGGCTTCCTCGTGGCCCTCTCAAAGCATCACGGGATCAACCAAGCCCTAGGTAAGCCGGAGCCGGCTGCCTCTGCCCTGACAGCGGAAAGCCATGTAGGAGCCAATTGTTGGTAGACAGAGTCCCCACAGGGGATGCAGATTTGCCAGCTCTGCCTTGACTTCTAAGGGCCAGACTCTGAGGCCTCCCCTGCTCCTGTGCTGACGGACGGCCTCCCCCACCCGGGTCCTGCCCCGACATGAAGCAGCCTCCCCGGGGCAGAGGCGTGCCCGGCACCCCCGCTCCCCCACCCGTAGGATGCCCGGCTCTGCTCTGGGCACTGGCCTGCAGGTTGGGCAGACACAGACTATTTAATCACTGGCTCCGGAGCTTATGTATCAAAGAGACTTGAACCCCATTTGTAAGCAAGGCAAAGGTGTGTCTCAGGAGACCTTTTTTTTCCCATCTGGGGAGAAAAAAATCTTACTAGTCTGAAAGGGAGTGGGGAAAAAGGGCGGTGGTGGATGGAGGCCGGCTCCGGCCCAGTTTTTCCTGTCCATTGTTTCATCCTCACTGGTCCACCTTCCCCTCCCACCTTCCTCCGCCCCCTCCCGCATCTGCTGCCCTCCCGGGGAGGGGCCACCAAGCTGACATCACCACCCACAGAGCTTCTTATTTTTTAAACAAGAAAGAGCGCATCTGCCTGCTCTTTTTTATAATTATTTTTTGGCTACACTGGGTCTCTGTCGCAGCGTGCAGTCTTTCTCTAATTTGTGGCAAGCTGGGGCGCCTCTCAAGTTGTGATGCACAGGCTTCCCATGGCGGTGGCTTCCCCTGTTGCGGCATGCCAGCTCTAGGGCAAATGGCCTTGAGTAGTTGTGGAGCATGGACCTTAGTTACCCGACCAGCGATGGAGCTCACGTCCCCTGCAGTGCTGGACCAGTGGGAGACGGAAAGAAGCGTAGGGTCTCTGTCCTCACCTGCGTCTCCCATGTATGGAAAAGAGACCTGAGCTACCCCAGGTGCAGCCAACTGTGGAGGGGGGCTGTCCTGTTCCCTTAGTCCTGAGGGCAACACACATACACGCACACACACACACACACGAGGGTTCCATCCAACACAGTGTGATCACCACTAACTTAGAACCAAAGGCGCCAGGAAGCATCATCTGAAAAGGTCAGGAACTGAAGTAGAGCCAGATGGACAATTTTAAGGTCGAGGCTTTCCAGGGACCAGCACTGTTAACTAGCTTCTGACCAGCAGGGCGGCTCTTTTCTCTTACGTTTGAGGGTAAGTATCTATCTGCAGACTCCAGCTTTACCTTCCCTCCCACTGGTAACAGCCCCAGGAGGCACCCTGGACCCCTCCTTTCCCGATGTCGGAGAATGACTGCCCTTCATTTGTAGCGGGGGAAACCCGCTGAGTGATGTCAGAGAAGGGACAGCGCCCCTCCTGGCCACTTGCGGCTGAACAAGGAGAGCCGGGTCTCATCCTGACCCCGCCTTCCCTTCTTGCCCTGGGACCCTCCCGGGAGGAGCTGAGACAGCATTTTTTACCATTCTGTCCCCAAAGTGGAATCCCCCTGATTTGGAGGCACAAAACTAAGCAACTTCTGGCCTTTGGGGCCTTGGCCATGTCCTGTGTCTCTGGCTGCTTTTCAGCTCAGTACCTGGGGCCTCGGGAAAGGACGAAACCCTCGACACCAGCTCGTGCATGAGTCTAAGTCACTTCAGCTGTTGTTGTCTGACTCTTTGCAGCCCCAGGACTGTAGCTCGCCAGGCTCGTCGGTTCAAGGGATTCTCCAGGCAAGAATACTGGAGTGGGTTACCATTTCCTTCTCCAGGGGATCTTGCTGACCCAGAGATCAAACTCCTGCACTGGCAGGCAGGTTCTTTACCAGTAGCACCACCTCACAACACACCATCCAGTCTTGGAAGAAGCTCATTCTGTTTGTGCAGTGACCTTGAATTTGGGGGCTGTCTCGTAGTTACGATTGGGGAGGGTAGGCAGGGGGGCTCACTAAATTTCTCCAGCGGCACCTAGGGCTTACTGCCCCCAGAGCAGATCTTAAACCTCTTCCCTGAATCTTCCAGATCAGCTCTCCCAGGGTCGACACTGCAGGCAGACATGACGATGAGGGGCACAGAGGCAGCTACTGGGCAGGGGGCTATCTGGCTGAAGCCCGGGTGGAGGACCCTCGCGTTAAGTTCTGTGCTCCCAATTATTCCCTAGGAGCCTTGCCTGACAAAGGGGACCTGATGCACGACCCAGCCATGGACGAGGAACTGGAGCGGCTGTAAGTGTTGGGTGGGAAGATGCTGCCCCCTTGTGGGCACCAAACCTCAGTCGGATCAGACCCCGACTCGGGCCACACAGCACCTGTCCATCGGTCAGAGGGGCTGGGGGCCAGCGGAGGCCTGAGGCAGCCGCTCTTCGAATCCTTTGGGGAGACAGCCCGTGGTCTCACTCACACGCCAGAGTGAGTGAGGGGTCCTAGTCTCTGGACACGAGGGCACCTCGCTCCCTCGGGTGTCTCCCCTTCTTCAGGCTGGCGCAGATCCCAGGCCTGGTCACCTCGGTCACTGCCGGTCCAGAGGCCAGCTGCCTGCCTCCCCGCACCCCTCCCCGGGTTGGCTCCCCCTGGAGACCCCTCCATCTTGCCCGCAAAGTGGACACAGAGAGCGATGGCTCCACTGAAGAGACAGATGAGTCCGAGACTTGAGGAGCCTGAGGGGTCTTGTCTACAGCACAGGACCCAGCTCTGGGTCCCGTTCCCAGCTCCCCACCCACTCACCTCCACACCCTTTCTCCAACCCTTGGGACTCCAGGCATCTCCTCTCCCACCCGTGCCGAGCTGCCCTCTACTGGTGAAGAGGCCAAGTGACAGCCGCAGCCCAGAGACCCGCCAGAGAGGTTCTGATGATCAGCCAAGCTAAGCAGTGACCCTAGAAAGCCTACTTTCTCCCGTCAGTCAGCTTTTCACCAGGCCCCAAGCTGAGGGCAGATTGAGCTGAGGCCACGGGAAGGGTGACTTGGTTTTACCCTTCTGCTGACCATCCCCATCTCCTCACAGCAGTTCCAGGAACCATGCAGGGCCTTGATGGTCAAGGGTGACACCCAGCGATGCAAGTATTAGGAGGATATAGCCATGGTAGCCTGCTAGAGGACTAGCCACTAACCATAAGGTGGAGAAGGGTGGGCAAAAAGAAATTTCACTTTCAGAAACCGCTTCAAGTCTCCTCTGTGTCTAACAGTTAAATATGTGAAATGAATAAAGTCCCTTGTGTCTGGTAAGTGGTGAGTCTAAAGCCATGAGACGGGTGAAGAGAAAGGGCGAGTTTGAGGTTTTGGTGCCAAGTTCCAGCTTTTTCTGGCAGGACTGGGAAGTTGGGGGACAGAGAACCACTCAAGCCTGGAGACCTGCTTCAGTTCATGAGCAAAGAGGGACTCACTACCTGCACATGATCTCTGCCTTTCATGGGAAAGGTGGTCACAGTTGGACAGAGCTTTCAGGAACAAGCTCAGATGGTTCAAGGCCAGGTGCCCATAACTTGAGAGACTGGACACAAAGGGTTGCCATTGCAGTCTTTTAACCCATTTCATTAAACATTTTCTAAGCACCTGCTCAGGGTTAGGTCAGTGGGGGTGCAGCTATGAACAAGACAGGCGGAGGAGTTACCAGCTTCCAGCCAAAGCTAGACAGTAAGATGTGTGGCCTGCAACTTCCAGAAAGTAAAACTCACCCTAGGACCCAAGCAGAGCAGGCTTCCTCCTCTGAAGCCGCCGGGCACCCACATTTTCCTAGGCTCATCCCTGCCCAGACCAGCACCCCCTGGAGAGTTACAGGACTGGCTCCCATAGCTCTGCCTGCCCAGGGCCAGAAGTTCCAGGCCACGTGGTGAGGGCTCAGGGATCTCCAGCCTCCAGCTGACTGGGAGCGACGCAAAGCCGCTGGCTGCCTCAGTCACCTGGGGGGCCTGTGTACGAGGCACACGACCACACCCCTCCAGCCTGGGGGCAGGACACAGAAACGTCTTTATGAGCACCTCCCAAGGATTTCACAACTTCTGATGACTCCGCACTTGGGGCACCACTGGCTTAGAGCCCCATGGCTCCTTCCACCCATCCATTCTCATCACCCATCTCCCAGACAAGTGGTTTACAACTGTCCGCCAAAGGTGGTACAGAGATGTTCCAGGAGTCCCATCTGGGGGAGCTGCCAGGCCATGGGTTTACATGCACGCGCACACAGGCACGCACCTTCCTGGAGTTCCATTAAGGTCTTTTTTTTCTAACTCCCCTGAGACACACACACTCGCTCTCTCCCCCCACCATCCCTGAGACACCCGCCCCCAGCCAAGCCTACTGCTGGGCCAGCGGCAGGGCTGCAGAGGCCGCCTGCCTGCGCACAGCTCTCGGGGGTGCCACGAAGGGCCAACTAACGCCAGCTCTTTCCCCCGCGTGCAACAGGGTGCTGAGGTGGAGGCCGCACCGGAGCTCGCGGCAGCACAGGGCCAAGGAGCCAGGGGCCTTTGGCTGTCAGAGGAGAGACAAGCTGGAGGCCCCGCAGACAGTGCCCCCCGCTTCGGCACCAACGCCCTGCCTGTGTCAGTGGGAGCCCAGAGAGTGAGGCCAGGGGCCTGCGCGGGCAGGGGGGCAGGATCCAGAGAGGACAGTCCTCCACTCAGACCACCAGAGGCCCAGGGCCCCGTCGGGGCTTTATTCAACACCACTTTGTTTCAATACAAACAGTCCAGAAAGAAGTCACGTCCCTTTGGGGGAGGGGTGCTGGGAACAGTGGTCGGCGGTGCTTGGGAGCCCAGCCCCCGTCACAGGTGGGGGGCCCAGGCTGCCGGCGGCAGGGGCAGGTGGCACCAAGGATGGTACAGTGCGTGGCCCGCGGCCGAGACCTGCCGCTCCGCAGGTGCCGCGAGCTCTCCGTGGGGGTGCTGCCCAGGGTCCCAAGGCCAGGACAGTGCAAAGGAAAGCCGCTTCGTCCCACACATCCTCTGCTTCCTCAGCCAGCACTACGCTCACGGCATCCAGGGCAGAGCCCCGGGCAGAGCAGACCCACCACGGCCACCAAGCAGGGGAAGAAGGGACAGAGTCTCCGAGGGACCGCAGTCCACCACGGATGGCACGGGAGGACTCGCACACACCCAGGAGTCGTCGGTCGTCCTCCGAGCGATCGCTGCAGAAAGGGTCAGCGAGACAGGAGAAGTCGGGCCTCTAGTCCGATCCAAATGAAAGCTTTAGGTACCAGGTCCAGCTTCTAACCCTTAGCAAGGCCCAGACAGAGGTCCTTCCCATGCCCTGCCCTCTCGGTGCCGGGAGAGACCACAGGAGCAGCAGCAGCATGTCCACAGCCTCCCTCCCTGGGAGCTGATCCACAGCAGAACTCTTTCCAGACCTCCCTGCCGGTTCCAGAGCCGGGGGCCAGCCGCCTGGACCACCTGCAAGGATCCTAGAGCCGGCACAACAGCTTTACACTTTTCACTCTCCCTTCTCGGGGAAGGCCTAGAGCCAGAGTAAGCCATCCTGAGGGAATGCCCTCCCCTCACTCCCAGGGTGGCAGGCCAAGAGAGCAGCAGCGTGGGGGGCAGGACTGGTGAGTGGAGCACACGGGGGTGTGCAGGGAGGGGAGTGAGGGGCCCGGTCTCCAGGCGGAGGTCAGGGCTGCTCCTGCCCCTTCCTCACCGGAGCTCCTCACAGGCCACCCCACTCACACCACAGGCATAAAGTAACAATTCCTCCCCAGCTTCCACAAGGCAAACACCCCAGGCTGAGGAATCATGAGGTTTCTGCTACTGCCATCACCGAAAGTCTGAGATATGGAGCTTGGGTCAGTAGGAACCGTAGCGATCCTGGGGATGATGGAAAGAAAAAATCCAAGTCAGAGTCTCTAACCTGCAGCAGTTTCCCAGCAAGCACACCCTCCCCCAACACACCCCAAGGACTGGGGGCCTGTGGGGAGGGGTAAGTGAGGAAATCAAGCACCCATCTCACCCAGGCAGAGACTGTCTCCTATTTACTGTGACCTAGGAAAGGGGGTGTGGTCAGATCCCCAGGGGGACGCCCTGCCTGATCGCACAGAAGCTGGAGAGGGAGGAGGACTAGAGTGGGGGAAGATCAGTGTAGACATGACACCATCTCAGGGAGAGGCCCAGCCCCGGGGCCCAGCTTAGAGGAAGGAAGATGTCCTCCAAGAAAAGAAAAGGCACCCTCTCGGGCTGAGGCCGCCCTGCAGCTGAGTCTGGACGTGGTAGAGAAGGCCGCCTTCTCGGCACTACCCTCCAGTCTCCTCCCACCCCAGGTCACGCGGTCCAGCCTCACCTGCAAAGAATTCATCACACCATTGGCCAGCACGGCCATCTTCCCGGCCACAGACTTGACACCCTGTTTAAACTGGGCGATGTCAGCCGTGGGCAGCACATTCCCCAGGGACACGCTGCCTGTAAGAGGAGGGAGGGGGTGACCCAGCGCCCGCAGGAAGCCCCTGCCAGCCCTCAGGGCCCTCCCACTCGGCCGGCAGGCCCTCCTGGTGCCGGCCCCGGCCCCGGGCCCACCTGCTCCGTGCGAGCCATCCACGTCCCCGAAGAGGTCTGATGAGCTGATGGCGCTGCTGCCCGAGAGCTGCTGGAGCCGGGACCTGGCTTCATACTGTGGCGGGGAAAAGGTGAGGTCTGCGGCTCTCTGCGCCACTGACTCAGAACTCACACAGGCCAAGCCACCTGGGTGCTAAAACCCAAACAGCAGGGCAGACAGTCCACTTCCGCCTGCTGCCTCCAGGCTCAGGGTGGACCACCTCACCTCAGTATCCACCTCCCGCCCGAAGAACATGTCGGAGGAGATGGCTTTGGCTCCTGCAAATTTCTGACGTGCTTCGCTCGACTCCAGGCCTGAGCTCCGGCTCTCCACCTCCCTCCGGTTGGTGACTCTGAGGAGTGGACATGGGACAACGGCTCTGACTCTCCCCACCGCTTCCAGGGAAGTGTCCCTGGAGCACTGCTACCCTGTGACAAGCCGAGGCCTCCCGGCGGTGCTCCCCACAGTCCCGCCTGACTGCAGCTCTAGACCTGGGGCCCTCTCTCCTCCACACTGAAGCCACAACACAGAGAACTTCCGTTCCCTTCCCTAGGCAGCACGGAAACAGGGTTTGGAGGGGCCAAGGCTTCTGCCCCAAACCACCAGGATGATCCAGTTCTCAGTCTGCCTGGACTTACACCTCCTCCCTTGGTGTAATTATGAGTATCACCCTTTTACCCTCAAAAGCCTCTCGGTCTTGCTGAGAAGGGGTAAGGTCACCGCCACCTGACCCTGACACCCAGAGCTCGGCGTTTGTCAGTTTCATTTAACCCTAAAGCGGCCCTGGGAAGTTATGAGTTATGTCCCCATCTTCCTAATGGGTTATTTGCAGATATTTATCAGTTAATCATTACCCAGATCAACATGGAAGATGCTTTTAAAAAATTCCTAGATGAGGGCCAGAGACACATAATTGTCGGGAGGTTGGGAACCGAAGCATAAAATCAGGCCCCTCCTGGCAGAAATGGACTTCAAGCACAGCAGGCTAGTTAGGCCTTCTGAGACAGGAGAGCACAGCTCAAACCCAGGCCGGCTTCCTGCACTCTCCAGTCTGATAGCCACTAGTGGCTATCCAAATTTATTTAAGTTAAAAAACTCAGTCCCTCCGTTAACACTAGGCACTCCCGCAGGACTCGGGACCGCATGCATGGCGGCCACCTTGCCGGCCAGCGCAGCTACAGAGCACTGCCGCCAGCACGGGCGTCCTAGGGGACGGTCCTCCACCTTTCTGAAATCGGCCGGATGCTGGAGATGGTCACTTCCAGCTCCTTCTCATCCATCCTATCCACACCCCAGGCAGCATCTGTATCCCAGCGGGAACCGAAACTCTCCCCCAAGGAGAAGGGGTTGTCCTTGTACCTAGGGAGACAGTAGAGAGGCTCAGAGAAGCTGGGTGAGGAGCACGGCAGCCAAGCCTGCACCCCAACAACAGCCTTACTTTGGAGGCCCAGAGGAGAAGGTACCAACGTCGTCAAGTAAGTCCAGTTGCGAGCGGGAGGACTTGGCACTCACTGGGGTTTCCTGCTCGATCACCTGCATCTCGGACAGCACCGAGTGGGAGACGGAGCTGCAGAGAGAGGCAGGGCCGGGGCGGGACAGCAGAGTGGGCATCTGTGTCACCGCACAAGAGAAGACGCCCAGCTGTGGGCAGAAACCCGCTTCTCCCTCACTGAGCACCACCCAGAACCTTCTTCCCCTCCCTGCGCCCAGGGCTGGGCGAGGCCCAGCAGGGAGTGCTAGACCCTGTGCTGAGCTGGAGCGCACCTCCCCTGTCAACCTATCAGCTTTGTCTTCTCCAAGTAGGGTTTCCCAGGCCAACGGCCGTTTGCCTAATCTCAGTGATACTATGCGCCAAACAGTAGTGCTTTCTGTCCTCAGCTTGTGGTACCATGAGCCACATCCTGCACCATAAGGGACACAGACAAACGGAAAGGAAGAGATGGAAAATGCCCCAGCACCAGGAAAATGAGTCTAATGGCATCACAGGATGAGTTCTTAAGTAACCCATCCTTTTCTTGTTTTTTTAAAGAACAAAGCATTTCAAACTAGAGTCTGGCCTTACGCACTAAGACCTGAATCTGCTATCTGGTTTCCTAAGGAGAAGAGGCACTGAATTTGGCAGGCAGTACTAACGCGTGATGCCTTTCTTCCCTGCTGTGTTAAAACTCCACAGAGGCATTTTAAGGATTAGTTTCATTTTAATAAATTCATTAAGATCTATAGCTTTTGGCTGGCAGAACTCCACAGAGTGACTATTTTGCAACAGAGTTTTAAACAGGGTAGGCTAGGTTTAAATAAGATTCTACTGCATACAAAAAATTAAAAAAATTAAGTATAGCCTTTAACCCAGTAATTTCTGTGACCAAAACAGGGACGAGGAAGAGACGCAATCTGGAGTAAATTTTGTTTTCCTGATTAGCTGTGGGTCACACTAGTAGGACACAGACTGAAAGGGAATAATTGAAATCTAACTCACCACACCCTGAAAGATTAAGTAGAAATACCCAGCTTTGTCTTCTACCTGAGGAACATAGTATAATGGCTATAAATGCTGAATATGAAAGAGTTCTATGTTCAAAATCTAGCTGGACCAATTACTAGTATTTTGGGCTTCAAGCAAGTTGCTTAACTGCTCTGAGTCTCAATTTTCTCATTTTTAAAAAGGGATAATAATACCTCCTGCATAGGACTGTTGTGTTTAAATAAAAGCCACTGGCAAAGCTCACACCCTGTAGAGGAGCAGGCACCACTTAGCACAAGCTCACCGTAGCCAGGGTTTCTCACTCTGGCACTGCCAAATATTCTGATTTTTAAAAGAGATTAAAAAAATCTAATATTACTGAAATCTCCAAACGCTAACTCTCAGTGTAAAGTAAACAAAACACCTAAGAGAACTGGTGAGCAGCTCTTGTTTCTGTTTAAGAAAACCACAGCAACCTAAACCCAGTGGTCCTGAAACAGGAAGGGCACCACCCAACCAGGGGCATCTGAGAGTCCGGGAGTATTTCCAGGTGTTATGGGAGCTGTCAGCACTAACAGCCTTTAGAGAGCAGGGGTCAGAATACCGAAAGCCCTGTGATTCCTGGGAAGATCCTGAGAAATAAAGAACTGTCCTCCATCCAAAGAGCCGTCAGCGCCCTCATGAAGAAACACGACCCTGGTCTCTCGGACGGTCGAAAGAGCACCTGATCCTGTGTTTTGACTCGTTAAACAAATAGTTGGCGAGCACAAACCTACCACATGCCAAGCACTATACTCGGCGCTTGAAGACAATAAGCAAGGCCATCTATTCAGCCTCAGAGGAAGACTGAGCTGAGAATACTAGGAAGAACCTCCAGGGGTTCCCCGGAGAACAATGGCATTTCCCTGCCGCACCCCAAAGCTGAACCTCACCTTCGGGACACCAGTCCCATGCCCAACCTCTCGGCCTGCTCTCGCTTCTTCCCTTCCAGGTTCTGCAGCTTCTTCTCCTCCTTCTTACGGTCAATCTGGAGCTCCTGGTAGGCCAGACGCATGGAGGCAACCCTTTGAGGGGACAAGCGTGCCAGAGTTCAGCAGACATCCCGACCTGTCCTGCCCACCCAACCCCACGTAAGCCAGGGCCTCTCTGGCAGACACGCACATGGACTCCTCGGCCTGCTTCTTGGCATCAGCCGCCTGCTGCTCACGGAGCTTCTCTGCCACCTGGGCCTGCCGCTCAATCTCGCTGAAACTCTGGCTACTCACCTTCTGGGCCCCTAGGCCCTTCTTGGCACCCAGCTGGGAAGAGAATCATGTGATGAGAGTTTTGCCAACCACAATGTCCTCTGTCCCCTCCTCCCCTCCCTGGCATGGAGGGGACACCCCCAAGGAAAGGGTTCCTTCTTAAAGTTTAGTGTTTAAAAACAACAAAAAAATAGGAGCCCACCCGCATGGTGGAGAGGGAGAAGAGTGGTTTTGCCTGGAGGCAGGCATGAGGCGGCCCATGAAACCCCAGCGGAGGTCTAATGCTGCCAGGCCCAGGATGAGCCAAGCACTTAGGCACACAGTCTCACTGACTCCTCCTAAGAGCCCTTAAAGACAGGTCTCTTGACAGCCCTTTCACAGCCGAGCCACAGAGAAGCTACACACCTTTACCAAAGTCATACAGTCATTTACCAAAGTGGTCGGATCTGACCCAGCCCCTAACCACCCTGCCATACTGCCTCTCCCCACCTACCCCCTTCTTCGCTGCTGCTGGCTTCTTCTTGCCAATGAGAGAGGTTTTCGGTTCTGTGTGAGGAAGAGGGTGGGGCATGAGGAGAGACAAAGGGACATCAGAGGCGGCAGCTTGGTCCACGCCATGCAGCTTCCTGGCAAGAGCTTCTATGAAGAACAGCTTCAGGCAGAGAAACGCACAGCTGCCACCACCAGCTCCAGCCAATGGTGTCAGGACGTCCAAGCCAAGACGGACACGGTTAGGGGCGGTTACTAACTCCCAGCACATGGATGTAAGGACCCAGACCTGAAGCACCAGAGACAAAGGCCCTGACCCCACACACAGACTGCCAGGCCGGGGCGGCGCCACACACCAGCCTCTGGCATGCAAGGGGCTCCCGAAGCAGCAGGAGGTTACCTCTGGCAGGAAGAACCCCTTTAGGTGACAGATACATGGACTCTGGAGAGAAACAGATTCATGGCTAACAGCGGGCCCTACCCCAGAGCCTCCATACAGCTCCCAAGCCCAGAGGCCTCTACAGAGCCTCACACCAGACCCAGGCCACACCAGCCTTCTCACAGGATCATGACGGTCACTCTGATGGTTTCCGGTCCCAACCCCCAAAGGTCAACAAAACAAACCAGGGCAGCAAATGTACCGTTCACCCTGAATTAAGTCTGAAGGACACCAAGAAGACAGAAAAGAGCTGAAAGGCCAGGGACTGGCTGGGAAAGGGCCGTGTCGCCTCTAGCCGTTAACAGCTCAGAGCTGTCCCCCTGTGTCATGAAATGGACCAGAGAGGCCAGTCCTGCGCCAGCCTCCAGGGCTAAGTGTCCAGCCTCATAGCGGCCAGGCCCAGGCCCACATGCTAAGGCAGACCCAGGCCTGGGACACCATCCGCCAAGGGCCTGCTCTGAAGTTCCTTTGGTCAACGCTGCAGCCACAGCTTCAATCTCAGGCCCCACTCCAGAGAGACAAGAATTCGGTCTCCTGGGACCTCAGTCCACACAGGCAGCAGCAGATCTGAAGAGAACCCCCACGGCCCACCCGCTCCCAAGACACGCCACTCCCGCCAGCTGGTATACTGACCCAGAGAGGCTTTGGGTGAGGTGCCAAGCAGGTCCATGTTGGGGCCATGCTCCGGCTCTGTGAATGCAATGGTGGAAATTAGGTGTGACACTCAAAAACTTCCTATGAGCTGCTCTTCAAAGTGACGGCACTGCTTTCCTCAGCTTTCTGAGGCCACCAAATAAGAGAAGGAATTCCTACCAGTTTCCCTAGGGGACTTAAGTAACTCCCAGCCCACCCAGAGATACATGAGACTCCTCGCTTCCATTCCCTCGGTCAGGAGTCCCACTCCTCTGCCTCAAGCCCTATGCCAAGACCAGGGTACACGGCTGAAACATGGGCTGAACTCACGTGCCAGGCCACTGCTCTCTGCAGACGGGGCTGGCTGCTGGGTCTCTGATGGGTCAGTGGCTGGTGCATTCCAGGCAGGGGGCTGAAAGAACCAGATGACAGAAGCCTCAATGAGCCATTCCTGCTGGCAAAGAGCTCCAAGTACCTTGGGGGTACAAGGCCCTACTCCAAGCCCGTGAGGAAAGGAAACTGGAGGTTAGCGAGTAAAATTATAGTTGCTGTTCACTATGGAGGGCTCTCCCAGTGGCTCAGACATTAAAGAATCAGCCTACAATGTGGGAGACCTGGGTGTGATCCCTGGGTTGGGAAGATCCCCAGAGGAGGACATGGCAACCCACTCCAGTATTCTTGCCTGGAGAATCTCCATGGAGAGAGAAGCCTGGTGGGGGCAAGAGTCCATGGGGTTGCAAAGAGTTGGACACAACTGAGCGACTAAGCACAATGGAAGAAAACAAGAGAATCTACAGCCATCACCACCTCTTCACTACTCACTTACACCTAGAACCCATTTCCCTAATTGAATAACCACCAACAACCAATGGTCACTCACCATGTGCCAGGTACAAGTCGTAGGGGCTTTTGACACATAAATATGTTTAATTATCACAACAAACTTATGAGGTAAATAGTTCTCCATCTTAGAAACTGAGGTTTTAACACATTAGCTATCTTACCCCACACTAGAAAGGCCAAGCAGAAGAGCAGGGATCCAAACAGACAAAGTCTGACTTGAGCACCCAGCACCAACAGAGGGAAACCTCCGGGGGTGGGTTGCTTGGGAGGGAATCTTTTCACATAGGGAAAGAATCCAGAAAAAGTTATTTGGGTTCCTGATATCTCTTGAGCCTTCAAGTATCTTCTCATCCTCCCTACCACCCCACTTTATAGGGTTCTGTTCCTAAGGAGGGCCACACTGCAACCCTATTCATGGAAGGAGGAAAAAGCCAGCTTTACCCAGCAGTGGGCCCCACACATTCCCCGTAGGGGGTATCACACCAAGGCGAACAGGATCCATGCCTGTGACTGTGGGCCTCAGCCTCAGTAAGTAAACCACCTGTCAGGAACAACTGTGGAAAACATTCCTATGGGCACTCACTTGAGTATGTTCCAAGAAGAAATCGGACTCCTTCTTCTCTGGGGAGTGACTGGGAGCAGTACTCACACTGTCTATCCAAAGCTAGAAAGGAGAAGACACCACTGAAACACAGGACTCTGAATATACCCACTCCCCCCACGACCCCAGCCCCAGGGAACAGGCACTCACATCAGTGCCATGCCGAGCCAAGGCCGTGCTCCCCAGCTGCCGGATCTTCTCTCGGTACATCTGGGCAGCTCGACTATTATACTTGGTGTTGGCATCATTGGCTGTGCATCCATGTTGGCGGAAAAAGGCTGTCTGGTGAGCCAAGAAGTGAGAACATGCTACAGGTGATTTTTCCCAGAGCAAAAGAGGCGCCCCCCGCCCCATAGACACACAACAGCCCCATTATTACTCAAAGAGAATGATACAAACTGCTGACACCAGCAGTTTTTCAAAAAGTTCCTCAGAAACTCCTGCAAGATAACACAGCCACCCATCCTGTAGGATGAATGTCTGAAGCCTAACCCTCACTCAACTCTGCCTGGGAACAGCATGATACACCCATCCTTCCTCCAGGCTGACAAGAGCTGGTCGACCGTGGAGGCCCCAACTCCATTGGCCTCTCCCCAAGAATGTCTGCCCCAGTTAGTTTGAATCCAAAGTCCCTTTGAGAAGAACGGTGACCAATGTCCAAGTTTAGAGAACAGCGTACAGAGCTGCCACAGACCAGAGAATCCTCTGAACAGAGAAACAGAGAAGGCCTCCAAGAAGTCACTGAGAGGTGAGTACCCGGACAGAAGAATGGGGGCAGGAGGATGGTAAGGAGGAGCTTTACCGCATTGGCATTCCCGCCGACCTGCATACACCGCACCTGGAACCAGGTCCAATTGGAATCCAACTCTGTGGACCTGTGTGCAAGGGCTGTGTGTCACCTACCAGCAGGTTCCAGGAGACGCTTCCCTGAGAGACCCACACCTGTCATTTGGCCTCGGGTTGCAGTAGGCACCCCAAAACCCTCCCCAGCCACCAGCCTGTCTCCTCCACTCCACCCTGTCCGGGAGAGCTCTGCTCCACTCTCACGTAGTCAAAAGGGTGCTAACTGTTTTCCAGATGCCAAAGGAAATGGAAGCTTGGACTCAGCCTTCCTCTTAAGGACAACCAGAGTCTCGCTCCAGCGTATCACCAACTAGATCAAGGCAGGTAACTCTCCCCCCGAAACTAACATTTCGAGGGTCGAGCATGACTACCAGCGAAGAGTTCTGACCCAGACGCGGAGACGAACCGCCAGTGTAACAAGAGGCCCACACAGGCGGTTCCCTCCGGTGAGAGTCTGGCGAACACTAAACTCAGAGCGATCCAAGTCCAGGCAGCCCACTCTCCCCTGCCGAGCACTCAAGTCCCGACCAGCCGCGAGGAGACCACACCTGATGAAGCTGAGATGGACGCCCAGGGAGCGATGCACCCCGGAGCAGTCAATGCACAGAAAAACACCGTACGTGATGCTGGCCCAACTCGGATTCTTGGCGCCACAGTCGAAGCAGGCCTGGGCAGAGAAGGAGATGAGAGAACGGTCAGGGGCCTCGAATCGAGGCCGGGCGCTGACAACCCAGGAAGAGAAGCCCACGCCGGCCCTTCCCCATCCCTCAGACGCCAGGGGAGCCGGGGGAGACCCTCTCGGCCCGCCCAGGGCCCCGCACGCCTCCCTCTCCCGCACCTTGTTGGTCGGAATTGCGCGAAGCCTCTTAAAAAGCGTCTGGATCTCGGTCTTGCTCGGCTCGGCAGCCATTTTCTCTCCTTCCCAGAACAGCAGCGCGACCGACGGGTCCCGCCACGGGCCAATCCGCAGCCGCCAAGGAGGGTCAGCGGGCGGGCCTCAGCGGAGGCCGGCCCGCCGAGGGGCGGGGCGACCGGCCCGACGCAGGCCAACGGGCGAGCGGCCGGCGGAGCGTGCGCCGTGACGCCAGGGGCCCGGGCTCCACGCGCGCGCGCCCGAGTCCTCGCCGCGCCGCGCCGCGGCCAATCCGCGGGCGGGGCGGGGCGACGGCTCGCCCACAAGCCCAAACCGCGCCGCGCGCGCCCCGCCCCGGGGCGGGGCCACCTCCCAGAGCGTGTGGGCAGCTAGGCTCGGCCCTCGGCCTCGGTTCGGGCCAGTTCCCGAACGGTGAGTAATGATTAACCGTCCCTACCAAACACTCGCGGTGCCGCCGACCTGAATGGGAAGATCAACTGGCGGGGCTCCCGCTCCGGTCAGAGCTCAGCTCCCGACCTCCACCCATCTTCGGATGCCTCGCACCAAGTCTAATCACGACTCCCCTGCGGGACCCCAGGTTAGGTTAGGGTCCCAGAGCAGGTACCAACCTGGCTCACCTCCGCCCAACCCCCGCCCCCGCTATATACTGCAGGCCCACGACCTTCCCCCAGTGCCTCCCGCCAGATGCCCTCGGCCGCCTGGCAAGGGTGCAATAGCGAAAAAGATGCACAGAAGCCGTTTTTTTCTTCTTCGAAGTTTAATACACACTAGAACAAGCCACAAGAGTGTTGCTAGCCCAGAACTACACTCACCCCAAGTCAACCCCAGGAACCCCAAAACAGACCAGGAACTGGGTCCACAGCTCCCGGGGAGACTGGAGGACCCTTTGGGGAGGCCCAGGCACCCCTGAGCCTTTCGGTCACTTCCTGACCTCCCCATCTTCCCCTCAGCCTAGACTCAGTTGGCCCTTCCCTATCAGTCCCTTCCCAGACACAAGGCCCCCCCACCTTCCCTGGGTTCCAGGACTTCCTCCCTCCTGGAGGGACAGAGTGGTCGCAGGGGTCAGGATGGTTCAGGGCCCTCGGGTCCGGCTGTCCAGACAAGCTGGGCTCTGACTCAGGGTGGAGAAACGTTGCATAAGGGCTGCAAGGGCAGGTCAGGCCCCCACACACTCCACGTAGTTGGCAGGGTACAGGCCAATCCGGCCACTCTGCAGCTGGCCCTGACACCAGCCCTGTTCATCCTCCTCGCTCATCTTCAGCAGCTCCTCCCCTGCGAGAAGGGAGATTGGTCACTGGCGATTGCCCGCCCCACTCCTGCAACTGGGTCAAGGACTAAGGGGGAGGGGGTAGTCGGCGAACCCAGCTAGAAAAGACCAGGCTCAGGCAGAGGGAGGTCAAAGTCAGCCACTCCACCCCCACCCCCCACCCCCAGGCCCTGAATTCAGCAGTCAGGCCCCAGCTGGTGACTTTGAGAGGCAGGTGAGGGCTCCAAGCAGACACACTGACTCCTGCAGGATGGACCCAGAGCAGCCTTTTTCTTTTTTAATAGTTTTTAAAATTTATTTATCTGGCTGCACCGGGTCTTAGAAGTCACATGCAATATCTTCGATCTGTCTTGCAGCGTGCATGCAGAATCATTCGTTGTGGCATGCGAACTCTTAGTTGGATCTCGTTCCAGGGATCAAACCCCAGGCCCCCAGCACTGGCAGCATGGAGTCTTAGCCACTGGACCAGCAGGGAGGTACCTAGAGCAGTCTTAAGCTCAGAGCACTTAAGCTTAAGCACCAGATGCTTAAAATGAGCATCTGGCTTCCCTTTCTCCACATTCCTGCTCAGACTAGTAAAGTGGCGAGGGAGACGGGCTGCAGCCTGCAAAGGACCAGGAGCGGGGCTCTAGGGTACCTGCTCGGAAGCTCAGCTCATCGGCTTCTTGCCCCGCGTAGTCATAGAGCGCCCGCACCCGCACGCCCGTGGCAGCCTTCGGGGGGTTTTCCTCATCTGACCACTCCTCCTCGTGTCTGCCACTAGAGGGGGGAGGACAAGGGGGCAGGCTTGAGCAGGAGCCTGGGACTCAGGGCCAAGGGCTCCCCCCTGCAGGAGCCCAGGGAGAGGCAGGTGGGGGAAAAGCTGCAGGATTCTAGCCTGACTTCTGCCACGAATGCCTGCAAGCTCAGGCACACGTCCGGCCACGCAGAGCTGACACGGGCAGTACATGAGAGGGAGTGTGGGGAGCACCTGGCAGACCACCATATAAACTGGCATCTCTACAACTCAAAACACCAGCTTTGAACCCACTTCAGGTGTGAAGGGCATGAAGGGAAGAGAGAGAGGAAGGAGGAGGCACAGCAGCGGGCAGAGCTGTGTCCTTCCCACAACCTGGATCCTGGCTCTCACCGCGGGGACCCCGAGGACTGGGGCGGGGGTGCAGCGCCATCTCTGGTGGGTATGATGCTGGTTAGGGTAACCTCGTCAGGGCTCCGGCCACCCTTCTCCTTCCGGCTGATCGTCCTCTGTGTGTCCAAGGACCACTCCTGTGGGGACAGTGTTCAGGATCGGGTTGGGCTGTAGGCTTGGTGGCAGCCAGAACCATTCAGACCACCTGTACCTACTCCATCCCAAACCCCAGCCTCCTGCCGGAGCACCAGAGTAAGCCCAGTGGGAGCCTACCCCATCTCCCAGCCCCAGCCTGCCAGGAACAGGTACCTCAAACTGGGGCCAGTTCATGGCCATGCCCGGCCCATGGGTGCTTCGCCACCAGCGCAGGTCCTCCTCGTCGCTGGCTGCCTCGATGCCCTGATGCAGGTCTCGGTGGAGTTCCTGGAACCTGTGCCCCGGGTATAACCCTCAGGCGGGGAAGCCCTGGGCCTCTATTCCCCACCCTACCCCCCCATGCACACCCTGCCCCGTCTCATTCAGTCCAGCCAGAGCCCAGAGGCGAAGGGAGAGAGCCAAGCCTCACCCAGATCTCCAGGCCCACCCGGCAGGCCGTACCTCTCACTGCTGGAGAGATCCAGATGCTGGTGTAAGGTGAGCAGCATATCCTTGAAGAAGAGAAGCCGCTGGCGCTCGGCCGCCTGGCAGCTCTCGAAGGCCTGCTCCATGTCCTCCATGTATCGTGGGGTGTAGCGGTGCAGCTCTGCCAGGGTCTGCTCATACTGGGTCTTCGTCTGGGTGGGGAGAGGCGGGGCTCTGGTGAGGACAAGACCTTCTTCCCCCACTCAAGACTCTGCTAGTCTTTCCTGCATACCTGCTGTGGGCTAAGCACCAGGGCCCGGAAACCTGGCTCCTGCCCGCGAGGACCCCAGGAGCCTAACAAGGAAGGTGACATTCAGGCCCAGCAGCTTTAAGAGTCCGGTGGAGGGACTTCCCTGGTGGTCCACTGGTTAAGAAGACGCTTTCCAACGTAGGGGACGTGGGTTCAATCCCTGGTTGGGGAACTAAGATCCCACATATCTTAGGGAAATTTAGCCTGAGCACCCCAACTAAGACCCAACAAATAAATAATAAATTTTTAAAAATAGATTTTTTCAAATTTAATAAACAAAAAGGTGGTACAGAGTGCGATAAGGTTAACCTATGGGAGCAGAAAACGGCAGCCCACTCCAGTGTTCCCAAGGACAGAGGCGCCTGATGGACTAGTCCTTGGGGTCGCAAGGCAGACACGACGGACCTCACATGCACGGACACACACACACATGGGGAGCCATGGACGAAATCAGAAAAGGCTTCCCAGAAGTGGAAACAGAGCAGCACCTCAGAGGACAGGGAGGCTCTGGATACGCGGAACTGGAGGAAAAGCGCTCTGGCCAAGTGAGCAACATGAGAACGTGTCCCAAGGGGCACACGGAAAGGAAAGCAGCTGGGAAGGTCTCCTCAACTGCTAAGATTATCCCAGTGCCCCACACCGCACCATTTCTTTCCTGCCTAGAGCATCCTCTTTCCCTGGTGTGTGCACACTGCGCCGCTCAGTCGTGTCTGACAATTTGCAGTTCCGTGGACAGTAGCCCGCCAGGCTCCTCTGTCTGTGGGATTTCCAAGGCAAGAATACTGGAGTGGGTTGCCATGCCCTCGTCCAGGGTATCTTCCCTAACCAAGGATCAAACTCACATCTCTACTGCATCGGTACTGGATTCTTTATCACTAAGGCCATTGGGACGCCCCATCTTTCTCGGGGTCCTATGTTACATGATAAGATGGAGAGCAGCGGGCAGGTGAAGACGAGAGCAATGCCGGGGGCTGGAGAAAGCACTCAGGGAGCCCTGAGCTGGGCTGCCGGGTCCCTCAGCCTGTACCTTCTCCGCCTCCTTGGAGCAGCGCTCCGCCCGTTCCTGCAGCTTCCGCAGCTGCTCCTGGGACACGGCGCTGTCTGCCTTTGCGTGGCTCTCCCGCGTCTGGGCGGTCTTCTCCTCCTTCCGGGCCGTGTGGTAGCTCTTCTTGGAAGCCTCAACCTGGCACACACGCAGGGACCGTGCTGGACCCAGGACCCTGCGCCGCGGCCCCTCCTCGCCTCGGGCCGACCCAGGCAGGGGGCGGGCCTCTGCGGCCCCTCCTCCCTACCAGGCTCACCTCCTTCAGCCTCTTGAGCCAGGGCTTCTGGGCCTTGCGGAAGCCGTCCTCGGCCGCCCGGCTCTCACGGAAGCCACCCAGCACAGGCCGGTGGAAGGCGCCCCGCTGCCAGGAGCGCACCCGCTCGCTGTCCTGGCCCTGCAGCTTCTCCCGCACCTCCAGGTGCAGCGCGCTCAGCCGCTCGGCCGCCGTGAAGAAGGCGTGCCAGGCCTTCTCCAGCGTGCCATACTGAGGGCCTGCGGGGAGAGGTGAGCTGGGGTTGGGCCCGGGCTGCTGGCAGCCCCCAGCAGGGGCTTCTGGGTGCCAGGCATGGGGCAGAGATGCGAAGATGAACGACAAGTGACGTCAGCTGCTGCTGACTGAACACCTACTGTGTGCCTGGACACACGGTCCCACGGAATGCTTGACTCATCCACCACCGTGAAGATGGCATCACCAGCAACGTGGAACAAGTGAAAAGGCAGCCCAGAGAAGGGAAATTCGGTGCCCCAAGCATTCCAGCTACAGGTGGAGCTCAGATCCAAACCCAGGTGTGTGGTATAAATCACTACGCTCTGTTGCCCCAGAGGGAAGAACTAGTGTCTGTCCCCAACGAAGGCAGCTTGTTTGGATAGAAGGAGCCCAAGCTCCAGAGCAGGAAAACCTGTGGGCAAGCGTTAACTCTTCTTAGCTGTGTGACTTCAGGCAAGTCAGTTGGCCTCTCTGAAGTATCCCATTCTCCTCTAGCAAATAGTTAGAACAAGACCATCTCCATGATAGGGCTGTGGTTGGTTGGTTGTAAGTCACGTCTGACTCTTTGGCCACCCCATGGACTGTAGCCTGCCCGGCTCCTCTGTCCATAGGATTTCTCAGGCAAGCATACTGGAGCAGGTTGCCATTTCCTTCTCCAGGGCATCTTCCCGACCCAGGGATCCAACCCACATCTCCAGATTCCCTACCACTGAGCCACCAGGGAAGCTCACAGAGTTGTTAGAAATACCAGAGTAACTCATATGAGGGTGCTTGGCAAACCCTAACAGCACAACTGTAAGAATAACCAGGAGGACCTTCTCTCTTTAAAGGGAAGGCGGACAGGGAAGCCTCCTACTTTCCACAAGAGGTGCAAAAAGAAACTGCCCTGCCTGGCTGCACCACCCCCACCCCCGCCCCGCCTTGGCGGTCCTCTCCTCCCCACGGGGCCGAGCACGGGCTCACCCTTCTCCACGGCACCCCTCCACTTGCGGGCCCAGTCGGCCAGCTGCTGGGCGTAGGCCTTCTCGATGCGGGCGCGCTCCTGGAAGCAGCTGATCAGGTCCCCGCAGAGCCGGTGCCCGTCCTCCACCCGCTGCACCGTCCGCCTGTAGTTGCCAGCCTGTGCAGGAGACGAGAAGCCTGGTGTCGCCCCGGGGGAGCTGGTCCCCCCCGCCCCGGGGGCCAGGGTTGACACGAGGCTCCTCCTTGGGACGGGTGGCTGGGCCCAGAGGGTTGGGCATTTCAGCACCACCCCCAAAGCTGGCACCCAGCTGCTCACCTCCCAGAAACTGCCCTCCAGGGCCTCCCCTCCAGCCTCTTCCTCTGGAGCCATGGTGTCCCCGCAGCACGGAATGGTGGCGGATTGGGGCTGCAGAGGGCAGAGGGGTAAGCAGGAAAGCAGGCGCACTTCAAGGGCGAGGCAAAGAGCCTCTGCTATCCCTGGGTTCTGCCCCCCACCCCCCACTGCCATCCCCACTCCCCAAGGAACTGTCAAGAGCCAGGACTCAGCAGGCAGGGGTCTGGAAGTCCCAGGAGGGGCCCAAAGAGGGCAAAGATGGTCGTTCCACGGCTCCTCCTCTTGCCCTGGCCTGCCCTCCCCACCAGCTCACTCCATGTACCTGGGCCTAGGGTTCACTCCGGAGACCTGGGTGTCCAGCCCTCACAGCTGCCACTGTGATCCTGCCTCGACGCTAACAAGAGCAAAGCAGGCGGTGAGGGTGGGGCTGACCACGTCCAGGGCGGTGCCCAGCTCCCCCGATATAGCAACTGCTGTCAGAAGCGCCAGATTCCAGCCAGGAGAATGCCAGTTGGGTCACACGGTCCAGCCGGGGATTACATGGCAGGCGGGGGTGGGTAGTGGGCAGAGGGCCCCACTGCCCCGACCGCAGATGAAATAAGGGGACGCCTGCCCAAGCCAGGGCTCTGTGGCCTCTCCTGGAACAAGGCTACCCCTCCCCAGACCCAGCCAGGTCAGAGGGTACCCAGCCACACCCCAGGAGCTCCCCTCACTGGCCAGAGCAGACTGGGAGCCAGGAGGCCTGAGTCTTATCTTGGCCATGAAGCTTGAACAAGTGCATTATACTGTCGTCTCCTAAAGGGCCAAAATGGAAATCCCGCCTTCTTCCCTGTTTCCGTGCCAACACTGGTATAAGACTCAAGGCAGCGAACAAGACCTATGAGGAGCCTGACAGTCACAAGGGACACTCATCCTACTCCACGGCATCCCTGAGGTCCCACAGGATTCCGTGAATAATGAGTAACTCAGCCCCACCCTCCAAAAGCCCAGAGTCTGGGGCAGCACGAGGTGTCAGACAGGTGATCAGCCAGTTAAAACAGTGCAGCTCCAGGACTGCGGGGGAGGGCAAGGCAGATTCCAGCCCCAGAGCTCCCCCCGGGGGGCTGGAGGACCCAGAGGCACGCGGCCACTCCCTGCCTATCTCTGGGCAGGGTCTCAGCTGTCCCCAGCATCAACTCAAGCCCCTAGAAGGAAACCACTTCCTCCTCTGAGCAAACCCCAGGGACACGGCCAGGCCCGGGAGAACAGTGTGTTCATTGCCCCCAAGGCAGGGCTCTATGACAGTCCTCCCCCAAACTGACTGCCTCCCCACCCTGCAAAACTCAAGAGTGAGGGCTTCCCAGGTGGCTCAGTGGTAAAGAATCCACCTGCCAATGCAGGAGACTCAGGTTCGTATCCCTGGGTGGGGAAGATCCCCTGGAGAAGGAAATGGCAACCCACTCCAGTGTTCTTGCCTGGGAAATTCCATGGACAGAGGAGCCTGACAGGCTATAGTTCACGGGGTCACAGAGAGTCAGACACAACTTAGCAACTAAACAAACAATACTTTAAATGGGTGAATTGTGTGGTATATGTCAATAAAGCTGTTATTAAAGAAAATCGAGTGAGGCATCTTCTCCAGGCACCCTCCCATTTCTCCATCCCCAATCTCCACCCCTCTCTCCAGGTGTATATCACATTGGGTATATATCTCCGGGTATATATCACATATCGCCTTGTGACAATATTGGCAGAGACTTCCTGAGGGTCCAGTTTGTGTTCCTCCAGACACTCGAGTTAGTAGCTGAATTTAAAACACAAACGACATCCACCTGAAGACCAGGAAATGCATGGGCTGTGGCAGCTTTGAGAAAACATGGCCTGAGTGGGCTTCTGCCTCTCAGTTGACAGCAGGGAGAGCTTGGGCCCTCAGCGGAGATGCCTGGGCCCAGAGAAGGATGGAGCAGCCCACCCCTCCGGGGTCCGCAGCACTTCCCCCTGCTTCCTCCTGAGTCTGTCCCATTTACCCAGAAAGGACGTGCCAACCAGATGGAGAGGAACAGAGCTGCAGCTGTAAACCCCAGGGCCTCAAGAGCTATCCCAGCCAGACATCCAGGGGCCGGGGCCCCCTGCCTGCCCCAGCCTCCCAGCTCCCGGCTCCCAGGAGAGCTGCCCCCCACCCGTTCCCTCTCTCTGGCCCCAGAACAGAGCGAGCTGTGTGTGCAAGGCTGGCACCGCTCCCTCCGGCCTCCCAGAGCAAACACGAGCCCAAGCCCCAGGCACAGCCAGCCCCACTGCCCCGGCCGGACCCAGCAGTGGGGGGAATGGGCCTGTGCCTTGACCCTGCCGAGGAGGGCCAGCACCCTGTGTCTCCCGACCCCGGCAGAGACCCCGCCTGGTCCCCAGAACACACTCCTGCCACGGCCAAGAGCTCGCGAAGCAGATCATGAACCTTCCCGGCCCAGGGAGCCAGCACCTAACTGGGCTTGGCAGGGTCTCCTCACAGCGTCCTGAGCCAAGGTAGGGAGTCTCGGGGTTCAGGGAAGAACCCACTTTCCCTTAGGAGGCCGCTAGGTACTCGCCCGACCCTGTCCCGAGTCCCAGGGCAAGGCCCTGGGAGGGAGCCCTGCTGTCCTGCCCTTGCCCAGGCTCCGTCCTGAGTCACAGGCTGCGCCCAAGGACCTCTTCTCCCGGCAGCCCCTCCCGATCCGCCCGCGGATTTGACGGCACCGAGGCGGGCGGTCGACAGGTCCAGAGAGGGGTGCTCAGGCAAGAGCCACCGGAACCTGCAGCCAGGGAGGCCCCCGAGGCTGGGGGAGGGGCGGCGCGGGGAAGGGGGAGGAGGCCGGGCCCGGGAGGGGCATAACAAAGGGGCACTTTTGGAAACCCGACCTGCCCCGCCTGAGGTGCCAGCTCCCGGGTGACGCACTCCCAACCGGAGCCCTCACACCAAGCCTCCGAACCCGGGGGCCGCCGGTCCCCGGCCTCAAAGCCCTTATGGACGGGCGCCCTGCTTGCGGGCCGGGCGCCGCACACGTCGGAGCCGGTGGAGCCCACGAGGAGCGGCCGGGCCAGGCCTGGCCCTGGAGACTCCAGGACCTCTCGGCCAAACTCGCTGAACTCGGTCTCGGCGGGAGGTGGGGGCCCGTCGGCCACCGCTGAGGGGAGGGGCGCACCCTGCCTTGGCCCGCGCCGCCGGCAACTCCAGATGGTGGCCCGGGACCGGCGGCCCCAGGAACTGGGACTCTTTGCTAAGGGCGAGGGGTCGCTGGGGAGCGAGGCCTCTGCTGGGGTCCCCGGGCGGTCGGGGACCTTTGAGGGGCCCCAGGAGATGGGGTGGCCCGCCAGCCCCGACGCCTCCCTAACCACCCCCCCCCCAACCCCGCGGCAGGTCTGGGAAAGTGCCGGGCGCGCGGCGCCGCAGAAGGGTCCTCCCCCTCGGCGCGGCGGCAGCTCTTGCCGCGCTCACGCAAAGCGCGGCGACCCCGGGACTCCCGGGGCTGGAGCCGATCCCACTGCAAACTTTAGGAGCGGGAGGAGGAGAGGGCGTGCTCTATCTAGCCGTGGCTCCCGCCACCGCCTCCCCACCGTCCCCTCCCGAGCAGCACTCACCGCGTCCTCCCAGGGCGCCTCGGCGGGTGGGGGGTCCGGCCACGCTCCGACCCAAGTCCTGTCGCTGCCGGGCCCGGGCCGCCGCCTCCCGGAGCGCGCCGGGCCCTCCCCCCGGGAAGCCCAGCCCCCAGCCCCGCCCTCTCCTCGCGGCCTCGGGCCCCAACCCCACCGGCCAGCGGCGGGGCGCAGGAGCTGCCCGCATCGCGCCGACCGGCGCGGCTCCCGGGGCGCGGGCCGTGGGGTCTCGGTTCCCGCCCGAGGAGCGCCAGGGCCGCCTATCCAGGGCGGTGGCACTATAAGGAGTCTGATTTCGGCTTTGCCCCTCCCCAGCCTCGGCAGAACCTGGGAGAGCCGTGGAAGCGGGAAGGAGTCCGGCCTGCACCGGCTCCCTTTGGAGGGAGACCTGGGGGGTGCTACACTGCCTTACTCTTCTAACTGAGCACAGCTTTCTTAAAAGTTAGAATTTAACTTAGATGTTTACTTAGACGTTAACTCTGGAGAGGCTCATAACCATCCCCTTGTAAGCATTATGACTCCCATTGTATAGATGCAGAAACTGAGGCTCAGAGACCTTTAGCACCTTGTACAAGATCTGTCGTCGGGCAGGGCCGGGACTCCAAAGCCTTGCCTTTTCCTTGCACAGCCCTCCTGGCCAATCTGATGGCCCATTCTGAGGACTGGGTCCGACACGCTGTGGAGGTGGAGCAGAAAGTCATGAGCTCCTCCCCCCCACGTGTTCTTATTCCCAGATTTTGTACCACGGTTCATTCTTAAATCCCTTCGCTCCTCCACCCCGTTTGTTAGTAGATCTTTCTAGATCGCCACGATGCCACTACCCCCACCTCCTTAATAAACCCCTTCTTCCTCACCCCCTTGCCCTGCACCCTGGGATTTTTCGGAGCCTGCCTGTCGGTTATTTATATCCACTGGAGCGGTCCAAGAATGTTCTGAGTCTGACCTAATCGCCACCTGCTCGGTCTCCCGGCCCCTCCCGCTTCCTCCTGGGCCCGGTGACCCGGCGGCCGTGCCCTCCGCCTGGCAGGCGAGAGAGGGCGCAGGTCTGCGCGGTCCGACGCCGGGGGCGCTCAGAGAGTCTGGACCGCGCAAATTGCTGTGGGCCGCAAGCCCTCCCGCGCTCTCGGAGGAGTGCGCCCCCAGGGGACGGCGTGCGCGCTGGGAAGCAGAGAGCCAAGCTGTTTTCTCCCCAGCACGTCCCCTCGGTCCCCACGCCCCCACCCCTACTCCCCGAGGAGTGTGAGTCCGTGTGCACGGATTTTTAAACGACAGCTTTAAAAATAGCAAAATTATGTAGTTTCTAAATCCGGGAGGAATCACGGACGCCTTCTCTGCGCAGATAAATCCGCTCATAAAATGAAAAGGGGGCTTGCAGAGAATGAACGGGGAGAATTTCAAACGGGCATCTAAGCCGCTGAGGACTGACTTGC